AGGCGGCCATAACGGTACGTTTGAAATGAGCTCTGAAATTCAAAAATTTTGAACAACGCATATAGACTCATTATTTACATTAAAAAAGCGTGAGAAGTGATACAAAAATTGATTTAGGTCCCTAAACGACACAGTGGAGTAATTGAATGCGAATAATTCATTCATCAGTCCACTCGCCCATTCAGCCACATAAATACGCAACATTGCCCTAATTTAACCTTCTTTCCTATCTTCTATAGTTTCCGAGATCCCAAATAGTGGCCTTCAAATTTGAATTTGTTGTTGTTGTTGTTCTTTATATTACCCCAAGAAACATATTTGTTTATAATAGGGATACATGAACACATGATATATATAGATATATAACAATAAACAAAAAAATTAACAAGTTTTGTAAATAAAACATACCTACCCAGTAAACATGAGACATTCATGAAATATTTCAAGATTACCTAAAATGTTAATGATTGAAACATTTTCCAGGAACATTCCAGAGATATTGCAAAATCACTGTAACATTCCTGTAATATTTCAAAACAACTATAATTGATATATTCCGAAACATTTCGAAATTACCTGTGAAGTGAATGAATGAAACATTCCAAGATAACTTTGATTGTGAATAATCGAAACATATCATTTACTACCTATTCAGGAATGTTTCAAAGCGTTCGAAATATGTTTGAAACGTTTCAAGGTACCTCAAACTATTGATATTTTGAAACATTTCAAATATACTCTCATTGCGAATTACTTCAATGTTTCAAGACAACTTGAATGGCTTGATTGAGGAATATTTCAAAATCACCTGAATTTTAAATGATTGGAACATTTCAATATGTCTCTCATTCTGAATGATGGAAACATTTTTCAGGAACATTCCAGGGATACTGCAAAATCACTGTAATATTCCTGAAATATTTCAAAAAAACTGTAATTGATATATTCCAAAACATTTCGAAATCACTTGAGAAGTGAATGAATGAAACATTTCGAAATAACTTTGATAGTGAATAATTGAAACATATCATTTACTACTTACTCAGGAATGTTTCAATGCGTTCGAAATATGTATGAAACGTTTCAAGGTACCTCAAACTATTGAGATTTTGAAACATTTCAAATATACTCTCATTGCGAATTACTTCAATGTTTCAAGGCAACTTGAATTGCTTGATTGAGGAACATTTCAGAATCACCTGAATTTTAAATGATTGGAACATTTCAATATGACTCTCATTCTGAATGATGGAAACATTTTTCAGGAACATTCCAGGGATGTTGCGAAATCACTGTAATATTCCTGAAATATTTCAAAACAACTATAATTGATATAATCCAAAACATTTCGAAATTACTTGAGAAGTGAATGAATGAATCATTTAAAAAAAATTTGGTAGTGAATAATTAAAACATATCATTTACTACTTATTCAGGAATGTTTCAATGCGTTCGAAATATGTATGAAACGTTTCAAGGTACCTCAAACTATTGAGATTTTGAAACATTTCAAATATACTCTCATTGCGAATTACTTCAATGTGTCAAGACAACTTGAAATGCTTGATTGAAGAACATTTCAAAATCACCTGACATTTCGATATGACTCTCATTCTGAATGATGGAAACATTTTTCAGGAACATTCCAGGAATATTTCAAAATCTTTGTACCATTTCTGAAACATTTCAAGACAACTTCAACTGATATATTCCGAAACATTTCGAAATTTCTTGGATAATTAATAAATGAAACGTTTCAAAATTTCTTCAATTGTGAATAATTGAAACATATCATTTTCTACTTATTCAGGAATGTTCCAATGCGTTCGGAATATGTTTGGAACATTTCAAGGTTCATCAAACTATAGCAATTTTGAAACATTCCAAATGTATACTCTTATTGCGAATTACTGCAATATCAAAAGACAACTGAAATTGGTTGATTAAGGAACATTTCGAAATCACCTGAGTTTTAAATGGTTGGAACATTTCGATATTACTCTCATTCTGAATAATGGAAACATTCATCAGGAACATTCCAGGGATATTTCAATATCATTGCAACATTTCTGAAACATTTCAAGACAACTTTAATTGATATATTCCGAAACATTTCAAAATTACTTGAATGATTAATTAATGAAACGTTTCAAAATCACTTCAATTGAAACATATCATTCAATACTGATTCAGGAATGTTCCAATGATTTAGGAATATGTTTGAAAAATTCCAAGGCTCCTCAAATTATTGACATCTTGACACATTCATTAGGAATTACTTACCTACTACAATATTCCAAGACATGCATCTTGAATTGGTTAATATAAGAATATTTCAAGATAACCCGAATTTTAATAAATTAATCAGATTATTTCACAACTATTACATGGTCTATTTTGACCAAGCAATTTATCATATTATGATGCAATTCAGCATTTCCCCTCTACAGCCGCCGCTTTCGCGACTTCGGTAATCGATCGCGGGTTCTCGTCTTCGGCTCTAAGCGTTCGCGCACGCGCATTCAGTTTCCTTCTCTTTGGTGAAAGGCTTCGCAGTTTTCGCTTTCCGACTGTTGTCTTAAGCCAAGCAAAGCAAAAGACATCTAATATCTTATAATAGTGATAAAATATAATTATTTCACTCAAGTCAAACACATTTTCGAGTGTTTACTATTTAATCGTACCGGTAGACCTCTTATAGGTGATTCAGGCCATGTGAAGTAACATCAAAACTTGCAACCAAACAAACAACACAAACGACTCCATTTTTTTTATTATCCCCTGGTGTGGCTGGACTTTGAAATGTATTCAACGGCTCCATGGACAAGGCCGAGGTACGTATAAATATAGAAAAACCATAATTTCAGATGGAATATCAAATATTATTTGATATCATGATGGGTATATTCATAATGATACTTTTTGTTCTAGGATGGAGTGTGAAAATTTCATCATGACTTAGGAGCTGCACAAGAATAGTGCTTTCAATTGCGATGTGACCGAAGAAAAATATTGAAGCACTCAACATGTGAATAACGATGTTAAATTACTTGATATATATGTACATACCTAATACGTCGTGATTATGTGAAATATCTGATGATACTTTTTCAACTGCTTTTTTAATATATCATTATATAAGCAATATAATCCATTTTTTTATGTCTATTATCTTTTATTTCACCAGCAATATGAATATATTCCAGCGATATTGGTAGGTATTCCTCATTCTGAAACATTCAATGGAAATGTTTCATAAACAGTAATATTGTTGAATGAAAAACATTCATGAAATGTTTCATGAAACATTCCCGAAAGTTCTACAATGAATGTTCCCAGGATGTTCCTATATATATGTATTTGAAACATTATTTATGAAACATCTCTGGTTGCGAAAATTTATCGTTTCAAAAATATTCATGGAATGTACCAAGAAACATTCCTAGAGATCTAATCATATTGGGAATATTTCCAGAATGTTTCAAGCATTTGTATCCGAAACATCATTTATGAAACAGTTTTGAGGGCAAATATATTTGGTTTCACGAATATTTCTGAAACATTTCATGTAATATAACGAAAGAAATATTTATGAAATATTGCATGGAACATTCCTACAGGATATCATCATGGTAGAAATGTTTCCAAAATGTTTCAATTTGCGTATTCGACACATTATTTAGGAACATTACCATGAAACATTCCTGAGGACGGACATCTCTAGTTTCTGGAATGTTTCTGGAACATGTAGGCAACTTTGAATGCAATGTTTCATGCATCAATACTACGTTTCTGAAACATTTCAGAAACAAAAAAATGTTTACTGGGTAATATTAAAATAAAATCATTCCGAGTATTCAAATAAGAATAAATTGCTCCGTTTATAGTGTCATGAGTATATATTTTTTCATATTGACTTTGAATCTTGTATCATCAATATGTTTCAAATCATAAGGTAATGAATTATATAAAATGATTCCGTTGTAGAATGTTTGCCAATTGTCTCGTTGCATATTCTCAAAATATCTAAGAGGAATGAAATTTCTAATTTTGTATAAAATGCCAGTAATTGGATTTAGCTTTTTTCTCAGGTGATCTATATGTTTAGTCCACGATAATTGTTCATCAATATAAAGACCAAAGAATTTTGTAACATCTAAATATTTTATGGCTTTCTGGTTGAAAAATATTGTTGTTTTCGATATATCAGTTTTTCTTGATGATATCATTTTCAAGTCACTTTTTATATCATCAACTATATCGTTAAATTCTTTAGAGGAATAGACTATTGTAGTATCATCTGCAAATAACTTCAGATCTTCTTTTAGTTTCGAAGATGATATTGAATTGATGTAAATTAAGAATAAAATTGGACCTAAAACAGAACCTTGTGGTACACCACATTTGATTTCTTTTACGGAACTACAAATATTATTAACTTCAACATACTGCTTTTTATTTTCGAGATAATTTTTTAACCAATCAAATATTTTTCCTCTGATACCTATTGAATATATTTTACTCAGTAAAATTTCATGATTTACAGTATCAAGAGCTTTACATAAATCTAAAGACAAGAGACCACATTTATAATTTTGATCAATTTTAAACTGCATATCCGAAATTACATCCATAACTGCTACCTCAGTGTCTCGATCGGCGAAATCCATATTGACCACTGTATAGCAGACCATTATTTTCAAGAAAATCAAGAATACGCTTATTCATCATTTTTTCAATAATTTTTTAGAGGATCGGGAGAACTGAAATGGGTCTGTAGTTATTAAGGTCATCTCTTTTTCCAGTGTTATGTATCGGTATGACTTTAGCAATTGCCATTTTATCTGGTACAATTTGAATACATAGTAAAATTTCTGAGCATTTCATGTATCCGCAGAAGGTTTTAGCCGACACCAATATAACTTTGTGTCGAAGATTTTCAAACTCGCATATTCATTTGATACTAAATTCATACTACACAATTAGATTTAATGTCTTACTGTATGCTGTGGAGGGGGGCAATCTTCGGCAGTAACATTGTATCCAACAATGTAGTCCGGCAGCGACTTTTGTGGATAGATATCAGATCTTTCATAGTTCAGACGAGTAATATCTACGGCTCCTTCAATTTGTAAATATTTCACTTTCGATACGGGAATGCGAAAAATGAAATTGAATAGGTGTTTTCCATTAACTGCTACGAAGAACTCTTTCTCTGCTACTAATATTTCAAGGTGGATGGTTTTCTCACGAAATGGATTGAACTTTCTCACCATTGTCACTTCCTCATCCCCCCAATCACCTTGTATTCGACTATTTCTCACAATGTATCTGCAAAAAATATTCACTACCTTTAGTTTCAGAGTCAATCTCGAAAATGGGGCCTCTACTTGACATAATATTATAATATTACATAGGTGATAGATCTTCAGCAATTATAAAAAGTCTTTTCCAGATAAGAGTGAAGCGTGCGTGGTTGTGATATAGTCTACCCAAACCCAAACTCAATTGGGCAATCCTCCTCAAAAAACAAACACCCCTTGGTGTCGGCGAGTTCGAACAAATTAAACAATTTCACAACCCCCGTATATGGAATGGTAAATGGTAATATAATTATTATAACATCAAGATTTTGTTTTGAAGTTTCCAATATCTTGATGAGTTTTCGAGAATTGAGTGCCAAACAAACAATAAACTACCTGGAAGTTATTGGCTCAAAATGTTTTTTTTTCTTTCGAGAAATGACTTCAACGGCAAAATTTTCTGTTGGCCCTTCACATTCTTGATGTCGCTTTGCCAGTGAAGCAAATGAGTATTGGGCCTTCATGCTTTTATTGACTTTGGTGTTGCTGGGATTGACAACAACTTTGTTTACTCAATCTTTAAAAAGGCACTTATATGTTCCAGATAACACTGTATGATCATTGAATATGTTCACAATCATCCGAAAGAAAAAATGATGATAGAATTAATATTCGTAATAGAAATCTGAAATGTATGTTCCAAGAATTTAGGATCTTTGAGGATTATTATATAGGATTATCATAAGATCATTTCAATGAAGTCAGTATAATCTACAGAAATTTGGGATTATAAAACGAAATATTCCTCTCAGAATATCAAAAGATTATTAAAATCTTAATCACTATAATATTAATTCTTTCAATTGCCTGAAAATATGACCAAAGAATACCTATACCTTATTGTCGAGATTCTGTAATTTATATTTACAGTGTGTTCGAAAAACTTGGCAACAGATATGGAGAACTTTTTATTATTGATTTTAGGAGAAACAGTAATTCTTCATAAAAAGTTCTGCGAGGCCCTGAACTGTCATCTATACTATATTATTATCTGGAATAGACTTATAGATTGTAACAGTTGTTGAATTTTAACGATTCCATTCAACCTAGGTATTTCTCAGTTATAGGGATTTTGTATGATGAGTTTGATACTATGACCTATATATATGATGTATCTTGCTATTTTATTTTTTTCTAGTCTTACTTTTGAGATAAACGAGGGTTTATGTGTAGTGCTATGTCACTATTAGCATCCTTACTGCAAACTAAGTCGATTGCAAACCTGAAAATTATACAAATAAGTAAGAATAATTTGTCGTTACTAAAATTAATACAGAGCAAACTGGTATTTTACGAATTTTGGAAATCTTGAAAACTGGACCAGTAAAATTGCAATTCTGAACAAATTGTAATCGTGGCTAACTACGAGCATTTTCACTGAGTGCATAATTTGAGTCATTGAGTCCAGTGGAAAACGGTATCAAATATAATTACATCCCTAACACCCTGACAAAAAATTATTGAGATCGATCAAAAAATTAAGGCTCCACAAAGATGTTGAATCATAAACGTGGAAAAACTGTATACCGGCCTATATTATGTTTATTCGAGATTAGATAAACGGTTGATGTTTATAAGTCGGGCATTAATATTTCTATTAATAATATAAGACAATATAACCTACCTAGTACAATCGGGTGTCACAATACCATGTAAATTAATGCAGAGTCCAGCACTCAAGTCATCTGGTAGATCAAATGATAAACTATCACTTTTAGGTTTATTTTCTTCAAAATATTCGAGACAATCGGATGCCGCCTCCATGTTCTGTTCCTGTAAGGGTAATGCAAAATTTGAAGAAATAATCATCTTGGTAATTGAAAACGAATATTGCTGTCAAAATGCAACCGACTACATTTGTTCATCGTGGGTTAGGACTAAACAAATATTTGTCTACGACAACAAAGGATAATACCTAATTACAACTTTGTCATGCACAATAGTTCAGTCATTAGGGATCAAAAATAAATTTTACGTGGAAATAAGTCCGAAAGTTTTGAAACTTTGCAGGTTTGTTGGTTTGGATGTCCAGAACTGAAATTCTCAAAATGCACATTCCGAGACATGCCGCCGGCGCCGCCATCTTGTCAAGATGGAGCTCAACAACGGTTTTTTCAAATATCTCCAAAACTGTGCGTTTTCCGAAAGAATATGAGAAGAATATGAAAGAATTGAGAAGAGGAAAAAATTTCCTACAAGAAATGTTCCTAGTATATTTTTGCTAAAGTGAGCCGTTTAGGCTCAAGAGCTGATTGAATGACAACGTATATTCTGTTATCTCTATAAAGTTCCCTTAACTTTCTCCATATATGCTTATAAATTTATCTTTAATAATGAAACGGGCTATTCAATTGGTTTCTCGTTATATTTATAGGTTGCTGACTAGAGGAAATGTCCTATAAAATGCACAAATGCGCTCGCCAAATTGAAATTTTTTCTGTAGAGGCGAATTTCGGAAATAATATGATTGTGTATTAGGGGTCTCCAAATCTAATATTTGTAGCAAAATCATCCTGTATATGTCTATCGCCTATATTATTATGTTCGAGATGTATAACAGTTCGCTAATCTACCTGCTTCTTCGATAAATAACTCACCTTACACTAGATGCCTCTACTTGGCCATTTGTCCATAAATTGTTTTTATAAACTTTTGGTAGTTTTTACGGAAACCCGAGACTTCGGAGATTCGCTTCTTTTTCTTTACGTTTACCTAGTGGCCGATCGCCATTTGAGTTTGCAATCGTAAAAGCCTTTTGGTGAAGCTATCAGAATTTGTGTAACAAGTTACGAATAGTGTGCCTGGTTTTAGATTTGTAATCACCTAACTGGCGGCCTGTACACTAGAAACCGAGATTTCGAGGCCGTTGAACAATAAAGTGGTTTTCTTGTACGACACATCCCTCATTTCCGAACCCCATCTATTACATATTATAGGACACATTATAAATAATTATCACGAAACAGTAACATATATTTTATTCAATGAATCGATTAATTACCTCAGCTTCAGAATGGATGTTAATTTCCTTTAACTCCTTCTGCAGTCGATAAAGAATCATCAAGCAGCGAATGGAGGTCTTTTTCATCGAATTCGCCGCAACTCATTGAACATCTCAATCCTGCTCTTCTGCATCCGCAGGCTCTACCACAAGCCGCCTTGCACTTACAAGATGAAAAAGTAGTGCTTTGGAGGCAGGATCTTTTTAAGTAGTTAGTAGAGTGAGGCCAGTTCTTTGTTTTCTTCCAACCCCATTATTCAACTACTTTCAGACAGCCACGACATAGTTGAACCTGATATTATGGATGCCAAACAGGACCTGATTCACCCTTAGGCTAATTAGGCTGCAGCATAGGGCGTGAGGATCGGGGGCGCGCTGAAATCGTGTCTTCGCGTGCAATAATCTAGCATCATTAGGCATCTACCCTACATATTCCAACTAGATCGCGACAAAACACTAAAACTAAATGCGCTTGGGAGTCCCTGATTCTATCGATTTATGAAATTTTAACAACCGAAGTGTGAATATTCAAAAAAAAGTCATAGCAACTTCACACACTAGATGACCACGCTCATAGTCAATGACCGCAACAACTCCGCGTCGTGAGAGCCTGTCTAGCTAATCTGAGCGCCATAGACCCAGTTTTTGTTTCTATTGGACTAACATTAATTAATTTGACACGTTGGAAGGACCTCGGGAATTTTATACATAAATTGGGTCACGGTGGATTTTTCTCATTATTTTTATTCGATTCTATAAACTATCTGCACTGTGATAACTTCCATAAATTAACAGTTTTTTTGTTAGGGGAAGTTAATTCACATTTTGATCGAATGCACTATTTATTTCTGAGAAAATGAACAAGATTTTGGAATTCTTATTCCATTTAATTTCTTCTAAATATCTATTTTTATAAATCAAATTAATTGAGGAGGAATTATTATCCTCGACCCCTGTTTTGAAGAATGGAAAAATGAAAAACACCGCCTAGCATTCAAGTGATAGCGATTTTCCTTTTTGCGTTATTCACATCCACGATTTGAGTTTACCGCTTTTATTAGTGATTCCAATTCTCTGCTATGGGCAAAATTATTCTGGCCTATACGGATCGCCTATTATGTGCCAATGGCGGTCAAATGAGGAAAACGCCAAATGGAAATGACGTAAGGGATAATCAATCGCCAAGAAATAACAATACGCCGTATGCGCAGCGCGCACTTTGTGTTCACGCAGGTCGTAGCAGTAGACACTCAATTATTATTGATATGCCTAGCCAGCGGCAGCGTTATGGGGCTGAGGGGTCCGAGTAACGGATAATCAGTCACGTAAAAAAGAGAGGTATAAAATAGAGGGAGAATATGAAGATTGGCCATTTACGGACCTTGCAGGAAGTCCATGACCGTAGATATTTGAAAATATTTATCTAGACATGAGGAATATCATACCTAAAATAGGTAGGGTCTAGGTGGCCGTGTCTGGAGCCCAAAAGAAATTCTTATTGGGAGAATTGCTTTTGATGCATACTTTTGTCTAGGAGAGAACCTGAAAGCCATAAACTTTCTCTTCAAAAAAAATACTTCACAATGAAAGAGAAAGACCAACTGAAATATTAGGTAGGACACCCTTCATCTTCCACGAGTACAAGAACTGAAGATGATTGGCAAATAAAACAGGCAGAAAATGTAAATGAATCAGTAGAAGCATATAGATTAGACTCCCCGTAGAAGAAAATCACCATCATTCATGTAGATGATGAAGACTATCGAGGGAGAAAATGTTCTAAGAATGTTCTAAGAACAATAAATGGGTACAGACGACGAAATATAATGATCGAGATGTCAAGATGCACCCCATTTCGGCCAATAAAAGCGTGTGTTTACACAATTTTTGAAGAAGGAATGAAATAAAGTATCTAAAAGGAAAGGGGCCTGCCAATTTTCAGAAGATTTGATCCGTTATTTTAGTCACAATTTTCACTTCACTTATTTTGATGAAGAATGGGCAATCTCTGTACAGCAGATAGTGTAAACATCAAAATATGATGATTAAGCCTAACACGCCTCATTAAAATGTTGCTGGTTTAGAAGATATACAGGGTGTTCAAGGGGAAGATTTTATTTTTGAAATAATTACACGATAACTTTTTGAGTTTGAAAATAAGTATCATGATGAACATAAAATTTTGAAGTTTTGGGATTTCTTCGAGGATTTCTGACATGAGATGAATACGAATTCGTCACGTATTTGTGATTGTTCGTAGAGGGCGCTAGTGGCACTATCTGATATACTAGTACTCTAGCTTTCACAAATTATCTACCAATCTCTAACGGTTTTTGCATTTTTCGATCATGAAAAGATCAGTTTCACTTTTAACATTTTTATGCACGATGACCGGGCGTAAAGTAGCATTTTACCGCCCGCGGACTTCTTTACCTATCAAAGTGACAGTGACACTTCAATAATTTATAAGCATTGGGTGGTGCCACCTTTGTTGTGCCTTATTGTGTATATACCATACAGAGTGTGTCCCGCTTTTCATGAATACACCGCCGTGATACCTCAGTTATTAATGGTGCGATTCTCTTGAAATTTTTGCAGTGATTGTGTGTTAGAATAAGGAAGTATTTACCAGAATGAACAGTTTCATTCACCATTGGCGTGCTATGTTGAGGGGTACAAGAAATGCCTTTGTTTGGGAAAAGGATATTAGGACTCATTTTAAATAACTTTTTTATCAGATTCATAACCAGCATCCCCCAAAAAAACCCCAATTCATATTTTCAAGATCCCGAGAGGTAAAAAAAATATTGCAAGATCCCTTATATTAAATATCAAGTATCAATGATGCGATTTTCTTAAAATTTTGATGGTGATTGTATGTTAAAAAAATAACATACAATCACCATCAAAGTTTTCGAGAAAATCGCATCATTAATAATAACTGAGATTTTGGGGCGTATTCATAAAAAACGGAATTTTGAATATTTGAAAATATGAATTGAGGGGGATTTTGGGTTTGCTGATTCTGAATCTGATAAAAACAGTTATTTAAAATAAGACCTAATATCCTTTTTCCGAATAATGGCCTTTTTGTATCCCTCAACATTGCACGCCAACATTGTTCGAACATTTCAATCACCACTAAAATTTCAAGAGAATATAGCATCATTTATAACTGAGATATCAGGGTGTATTCATGAAAAGCGGAATACACTGTATATAAATAATGCGCCGGTGCCATCGTCCACCAATATTCTAATAAAATAGAATATTGGTAGATGATGTCTTTGCATCTTCAATTCTCCACCTATATCTGTATAAATTTGGTGCCGTCACTGGAATATCCATAAATAGTAACTGATAATTGATGATTTTTCAGATTTTCCTATAAGTACCTACTTATATATCTACTTCATTATAATCACTAGACACTATACGATCTTTCGCTGTATATTTTATGGAAAGGGGTGCATTTAGCAGGAACTGAAGCTGATATAAAAAATTACTTACACAGCATGATCTACATAAATATGTATACATTTAGCCCATTCAGGTCACAGAGTATGAGTAATCAAGATATTCTTAGTGTTATTCATTGTTTAGATATAGGTAGTTTGCATGTGTCTCGATAACCGTTTCTATGTGAATTAACTTATTATTCTTTGTTTGGTGTGACATCTAAAACAAATAATACGAACAATACGATGCACCTCCGAACAACGTCTTTTGTATGTTCGAAGCAATGCACAGTAGCGTACACATACCCGTTTAGACACGCCAAAATTTTAAAATTGAGGCTTGCTGACCAAATGTCTCCGATTCATATTTGATCCGATATGACCAAATAGAATAATCCCAAAATATATACTTCCTTGGTGGGTAGTTTATTATTCAAGTCGTTTTTCAAAAACTCTTGCTGACCGATCGAGGTCATATTTTTGATTCGACTTTTTTTTCGAATTGTACAGTCGTATTAAAAAAAAAAAGCGTACAAGTATATTACAGAGAGAAATTAACGTCATCCTATTCTGCATAAAACGGGCTATCGGGAATGATTGTTCACCGAATATTGACAGTAAAGTTGTCATAGGTTCTCGAAAACACAAAGCATTGGCTGAGCCAGTTTTACACAACTAGAACTAGGATCCCGAAATCCTCTCTAGTCAATACTTGTACGCTTTTTTATTGAATACGACTGTATATTTGGAATCTCAAAATTCACACTAAGTTTTGTCACCAATAGAATGATTTTGATCCACCCCTGAGAGGTGTACTTCATGATTGTTTTTGTTTTCAAAAACCCTTACTGATCGACTGAGCATTTTTGGTTCGGATTTTTGCAATTGATGGTGCCATATTGATATTCATCAAAAGTTGCTGTGAAGATGTTGCAACAGATTTGTTCCAACTTGACTAATAACGTCAGGAAAAAATAATATCGAAAACCCGAAAAATCAGTTTTTTCAAAATAACTCAAAAACGAAGAGTCGCATCTCGGATTTCTTGATATCACATGGTTGTTCTTTTGATTGCACAACTTTTTTCCCATAAAACCAAAACGGCATCTCTTATAGTTTAGAATATCCCCATATTGGCCCTCCTTATGTTGGACACAGAGTGTATAGGTACTATTTCTTCATAGGGTACCATGATATTTTTCAAATTATTCTTTTTAATGTTCCTCTCATATTCTAAGTCAAACATCACAATTAGATGATGTAAAAGGGTATTTTCTATCGAAAAATAATTTTTGGAAAAATTTGGTAGCCTATATTATAAGGAAAAAGCACTATTTTTGTTACGCAGCAGACTTTTGAAATCGATTTATATGAAAAATGGTGAGTGCTATCGAAGCTAAACAGAAGTATCATTTAAAATATATACAGGGTGGCCCACGGTCGATGGTACCTTAGACGTATACGGAAAACGGTACATTGGATTATCCTGAAAATTTGGTTACTCTAATAAGCTTTTGTGATCTAAAGATTCAAAATATTTTCAGCGATGCAGCGTTGCCACTTTTACCAAAAAGTAGCAACATCTTTGTTATTTCAAATGGAACACCCTGTATTTCATTGCGTATTTAGATTCTTCTCGAAGAGCTGATTTCATCAAAGTATCACACTTGGGGTCTAGCAGGAATTATAACAAAGATATAGGGTGTTCAAAATCGACATTTTTCAATTTCAGGAATTGTTTGTGTCGAAACTATTCATTATCGATCAAAACGGCTTACATGTCCCTATCTTAACTTTTGATTCACTATCTACTGACATTTAATTGGAACAGATACAGAGTGATCAAAATTCTGAATCTTGGACCGTCTTGTATTTTTTCCAATTAAATGTCGGTAGATAGTTAATCGAAAGTTTATATAGGGACATGTAAGCCGTTTTGATCAATGATGAATACCTAGTTTCGACACAAAAAAATCCCAAAGTTGAAAAATCTCGATTTTGAACACCCTATATCTCTGTAATAATTCCTGCTAGAGCCCAAGTGTGATACATTGATGAAATCAGCTCTTCGAGAAGAATCTAAAAACGCAATAAAATACAGGGTGTTCCATTTGAAATAACAAAGATGATGCTACTTTTTGGTAAATGTGGCAACGCTGCTTCGCTGAAAATATTTTGAGACGTTAGATCACAAACGCTTATTAGAGTAACCAAATTTTCAGGATAATCCAATGTACCGTTTTCCGTATACATCTAAGGTACCATCGACCGTGGGCCACCCTGTATATTATGATATTAGAATGAAGAGATTTTGTATTTCGTGTAAATTTTTTATTATAAATCGCAAAGCGCTTTCGGCTAAAAAGCCATCATCAGTGCTATACTCGTCAAGTATTTACAAAAAGGTCCAAAAATTAGTGATCACAAACATCATTATGGTACAAACGGGATTATGAACAGACATACATTTAACAAAAATGTTCCCTAAAGGGTTATTGTAAAATTTTTTCAAAAATACATGTTGAGATTGTTTTGTTCAAGTCCACAAATAGCACGAGGGACCTTAACCTTATTTATTCTGGAATAAATAAGGTTAAGGTCCCTCGTGCTATTTGTGGACTTGAACAAAACAATCTCAACATGTATTTTTGAAAAAATTTTACAATAACCCTTTAGGGAACATTTTTGTTAAATGTATGTCTGTTCATAATCCCGTTTGTACCATAATGATGTTTGTGATCACTAATTTTTGGACCTTTTTGTAAATACTTGACGAGTATAGCACTGATGATGGCTTTTTAGCCGAAAGCGCTTTGCGATTTATAATAAAAAATTTACACGAAATACAAAATCTCTTCATTCTATTGATCAGTTACGTGTATGCAGCTAGTAAAAATCTTCACCTATTATGATATTTGCAAATTTCTTTTAAAACTGCCGAAAATGGCAAAAAAAAAAAGTTGGCGAAAAAAATGCCCCTAGCCCCACCTATTTCCGCTCCTGATCAAAATTTCGGAAAATTCCAACATTTCCAAATCGGGCATTAAAAGTAATATACATGTACAAAATTTCGTTATCTCAACACAGAGGGCCATCAGGTGGCCATTTCTGGGCTCATGTTTATATGATTGTTTTACTATTTTTGTTCCTAGAGTCTGTGGTTGAAATCGTTTTATATGTGATTTGGGGACTAAACTACGAGGGGTTTTCACGGAGAAATTATAATATAGGAAATGCCCCCATCGTTTTTCAAATTTTCATTGCTAAAGAGTTGAATAGAATCATCTGAAGAATGTTTATATAAATGATTCTGATTTACATCACCAAGTAGCAACTTTTCATCCTGGGAAAAAAATGTCAGAAACTTCTTTCTAGTTTTTTTTATTCCCATAGTTCATTTGTTTCAACAGTCATATAAATATAAATGAATAAATAAATAATCAACTTAAAAATATACAAATATATAAACCACACCCCAGTTATATACAATCATAATACAATAATTAGATGTTTGAACCTAAAACAAATTTCACTACTGAACCGTGAAGTAGTATAGTAGAATGACATTTTCATGGTGATTTTGTTTATACAGCACCTACTTGAAGTACAGGTATCAATAGTTGAAATGCATCTTGTATATATGAACTGCTGTTGGCTGCCTGTAAAATCATGTAGAAACTATTAAAAACCAATATAACAAATCAGTTTTGATTTTGATTGAGTCGGAGATTTTCTATGATGATTCAATTGAGAAAACATGATCTATATCATTATTTCAGAAAAAAATTATAATTTTTATTAGTATTAGTTTTCATTGTTTTTTCAATCGATGTGTTACACAGAATAATGATATGATACCTATCAATAACAATAATACCGGGTCGTCAACAATAATTGAAAACCATCTGACAGAATACTATGCTGGTGGAAAAGAGACGTCGCATTGAAAACGGTCACGTGGCACTAAATCATTGTTGAAGACCCGTAATTATAATACTGATACAAACACAAGAAGGACCACTTAATCTCAGTAAATGACCATATGTTGGTTGAATTGTGAACACTGAGATGATTTCAAAATGGTCCATGATATTTGTATCTGTATCATATTCATTCTATTTTTGTGTAACTACTCACCTCAAAGAAAACATTGGTAATTAGATCATTGATTTTCTCTTTATTCAAAGTTCCACTTGCTCTGGCATTCAATTTCTCGGAGAATTTTCCAGCTGCGAAGCCAATAAGTGAAGTCAAAGCAGTCGTTAACCTGACAAAACATTCGAAAATTGATATTTTTCCAAACAAAACTGGTTGTTATTTATCACAGGGGACAAATTTTAAATTATTATCTGACTAAACAAATTGAAAATGTTCATCCATGTGGACGAAACTATTGTCCCTATTTGGAAGAAATGGTAATCACGTGTGGAAATCAATATTCTACAATGTTTCGCCACGAATCATTTCCAGTGATTTTTGCTTTGCAACTAGTTTATCGTATAACCATCTTTACCAGTTGATGAGCCGCCATACACAAATGAAAGAAAGAAATATGTGGCTGTAATCTTCTATGAAAACGTGGGGGAAGGAAGATTGGAAAATCCTTTATTTAATCAAAAAACATATTCATTTCGTAAAACATATTATGATTTACTTCAAAATATTTTCGGTTATGTCTGACACAGCTAGTCTAGTGCCCGTACTCTGAATTACATGGTGTTTCACGGTGGATGGAACATTATTAGAAGTAGCTGTAGAACCAAACGACAGATAATTTCGAAAATTTGTAGGCGTAGAAAGTCAGGCATGCTATATCCGTCTGAAATATTTTTATCAATACAGTGTTGCCGCTTTCATTAGAAAGTATCAGCTACTTCGTTATTTCAAATGGAACACCCCGTATATTATGTCATTTTTGAAATTCTTATAAGATTCCTCATAACTCTTCCTGATAATTGTCTATACCTATCTGTAACAGTTTCCGAGAAAAAAAAATATTTTGTCCTTTTTGTTTTCAAAAACTATCCCATGAAAAATAATGATTATTTCACAAGGCGGATTCATAAAACATTATTGTAATTCGGGTAAGACCATTGAGTATTCTACCTATGAACCGGATCTCATTTTCTGAATACAGAGTTTCAGAAGTAACTCCTTTTCGGGGACCCATGAAAACGACTGAAGCTCAGTTTTTTAAATGGAATACCCTTAGAATCAGTGTACTTATTTGGAGAGTTGAGACATTTTGCCATTTAACTGTTATGATCATTTATGTCATGAATTCGTCTTCAATAAAATTATTATTGGAAATTGATTTAAATAGTTGGCTATGAACTTCATACTGACAGAGAACCGACATATAATTCCTGTACTGTAATCCTGTGAATTCAAGTTTCATAGGTGAGAAAGTAGTGAAAGTACTACGTGAAAAAATAATTACTCAAATGTAATTTTGATGGCTTTATTCATAATTTTTGGTCAATGTTTCAAGAATATTATGAGAGAACATGCCAGAAGTTCAATGAAGAGTTTCCTGATTCACCTCGAATGAATTTGAGACAATTCATTAGATTGAGAAGAAATTTTAAAATGTTTATATCATCATCAAAAGCTTAGGGCTGGTTGCATTGAGCTCTCTGTTAACTTAACAAGGAATCGACTATTCTAACTCATCAGCTAAGGTAGACGTTGCTATGGATACAAACAAATCAAATATTTAATCGTCTGTTAAATGCTTTATGCAACCGGCCCAAATGTATCAAAGTTGAACATGTGTATTAATAAATCTAGAAAGATATAACGGTGCTGAATCATTTCAAGAAATGACTCAATCTGATGAACTTTCTCAAATTTATTCGAGGTGAGTCAGGATACTTTTCAACACTTCCGGAATGTTGTGCTAACAATCTAGAAACATTGACTAAAAATGATGAATAAATTCATCAGAATCATTATTGAGTAATTATTTTATGAAAATCAAGTTATTTCGAAAAACGAATTTGTTCACTGATTTCCGCTGACCATCTGCACTGGTTGACGCCATGTTGAATAACATGAAGTGTTATCGTCGACTGACGCGTTTAAAAATGTTAAAGTGTCAAACAAGGATGGAAGTAACGAACAGAACTTCAACAGAGGCTGAAGACTCGTGTCTACCAACTTGAAGAAAAAAACATTATTTTGTCCACAATGGGCGTGTACACCTTAGTAGAACTTTTAACTCGAACCATGTTTATAATGATCCTTTTATACATAAATAATGATTGACGACATAATTCGATCGAAAAATTAACTGGAATGTTTTATTTCTGGACATAAATAATAGTACCTTCTGAAAACGGACCCTCTCTTATGACGTAGAAACCTCATCTCACCATAGTTGAAAAAAAATACCAAACGCCCGACGGAGACTGAGGCAACTGATATATTAATTCTTTCAACTGTGATCTCGCGCTAATTCACTCTGACAGAAATCATGTATCATTCATCTCTGTCTGGAATAGTCTTGTTTCAGTATTAGGGTTTTGACGTCACATCATCGCCTCGTTTTCAGAGGTCCGAAAAATCGTGGATTTCAATAATTTTTTACGAAACGTATGGAGCTCACAGCAAGAAACGGTTTGCGGTGGTGAGCTAGTTTGGGTGAGTTCTATCGAATTATGAAATGAATTTTTTTTGTGATATAAGCCCATTGTGACCGCAGGGTCCGACGAGGATATAAGGTACTTTCCCTCCTATGAAAATTGAATTCACAGGATGACTATGAAGGAATTACAAGTCAGTTCTTTTTCAGAGTGAAGTTCATAGCCTACTATGTAGATCCAATTTTGATAATAACTTTATTGAAGAAAAATTCATAACATGAATGACCATAACTAACAAACTGTACGAGATAGGTATACAGTTGTATGGTAAAATGTCTCAACATTCCGAATAAGTAATAATATACAGGGTGTTCCATTTAAAAAACTGAATTTCAACCATGTTCATGAGTCCCTGAAAAGAAGTAACTTCGGAACCTCCCTGTATGCATGCTGAAACAGAGATATGCAGCTATGACCCAAAATACAATGATAGGTTGAAATAACAAAGTAGCTACTACTTTCTGATATAAGCGGCAACACTGTATTGATGAAAATATTTTAGACAGATAGAGCATGCGTGATTATTCACGCCCACAAATTTTCGAAATGATCTGTTGATGTATATTTATATCATATCATTCTCTCATGGAAAATATACAGTCTGTCCAAGATAAGGTTGAGTTGAACAGCATGGGGATCTCGAAAACGGTAGGAGATACGAAGTAGGTTAAATGGGGAAAAAGTTGCGCATTCGGAGGCTCATATCAAGAGCCTTCGAAAATGTTTGAAATTATTTTTAGTTTTTTAGTTATATCGAAAAAAGTGAATTTTCGGAATATCTATTTTATTTTTTTTCTCCGTTATTATTAGAGATACAGAAAAACTGAAAATACTTTTTCATAGCAACTTTTGATGACGTTTAATGTGGTGATACCGATTTTCCTATGCGACGTTTCGTATTCGTAGAACCATCATCAACTTTTGTTTTTTAAATACGGTCCTGGTCATTTTTTCACAGATTCTGAAAGGTTTTTTTATTTTGAATTCAACCATGTATTATACAAGGTGGTTTATGTGTGTTTCGACCTATTTTTAACCATCATCAATGTTTTTTCGAAATTCCAAAGGAAAAATGCCATCAGTTCCACTTATTTTGAAGGAAAATTAGTCAACACACTAATACCTCATCAACTGGTTTCAATCAACAATCCATTTCATTTTGCGGAAACAAAAATTCCATCCATACAAATTCAAAATATGTCAAGCGCTAAAACCAGGCGATGACGAAAGGCGCAGGACATTCTGCGAGTGGTATACCAGGAAATGTCAAAATTTTGCAGATTTCCCGCGAACAATCATCTGGACTGATGAAAGCATGGTCACTAATCATGGTATCCTCGATAGAAAAAATACACATTATTGTTCACGAGAAAATGAACATTTATACATTACAGCGAGACACCAACACCGTTTCGGCTTTAATATGTGGGTTGCAATATTTGGTACACGAATAATTATTGGTCCTTTTATTCACCATGAAACACAGACTCCCTAACATTATAGAAATTTGCTTGAGAATCTTGAGGAAGCTATCTGGATGATTTACCGATTGCGGGAGTTCAGAACTGTTGGTTTCAACAAGATGGCGCTCCGGTACATAATTCCAGAGAAGTTCGTGCGTTTTTATCCAGAAAAATGGATTGGTACTCATTCTGCAGTCCCTTGGCCGGCGCGGTCACCTGATTTGAGACAGCTGGATTTTTTTTAGGGGATATATCAAAAACTTTGTACACGCAAATAGCTTTGATGATGAAGAAGAACTAAGGGACAGTGTCATCGAAGCATTCAATAGAATAACCCCAGAAATGCTTAGTAATGTCTTAGAAGCAACTGTGAGAAGAGGATATCTTTGTTCAGAAAATGATGATAATCATTTTGAACATTTGTTATGAATGTTTCTGAAGGTATTTTTGTCAAAGTTAAGTTGTTCGTGTAAGAATTCATCAACAATTTCAAGCGCTGCATTGAATGATGTAGCGAAATATTTTTCATTCACTTTTCAGTATTGAATAACTGATCCATCAATGTTTGACACTAAATGATCAGAAATAAATGGAACGGATGGCACTTTTCCTTTGGAAGTTCGAAAAAACATTGAGGATGGATAGAAATAGGTCGAAATACATTCGAATCACTTTGTATAGTACATGGTTGAATTCAAAATGAAAAAACCTTTCAGAATCTGTGAAAAAATTATCAGGGCCGTATTTAAAAAACAAAAGTTGATGATGGTTCTACGGATACGAAACGTCGCATAAAAAAATCGGTATAACCACGTTGAACGTCATCAAAAGTTGCTATAAAAAAGTATTCTCAGTTTTTCTGTATCTCTAATAATAACGGAGAAAAAAAATGAAATAGATATTCCAAAAATTCACTTTTTTCGAAATAGCTAAAAAACTGAAAATAATTTTAAAAATTTTCAAATATTCTTGATATGAGCCTCCGAATGCGCAACTTTTTCCCTATTTAACCGACTTCGTATCTCCTACCGATTTCGAGATCCCCATGCTGTTCAACCTTATCTTGGACAGACTGTATATTTTCCATTTAAGAATATAAAATCTGAGAAATGAATGAGAAAATATCTTACAGAACTAGGCTGTCAGCCTCATCTGCTGTACTCCTATGCTCCTTTATCAATAACAATTCCCCAGCTTTGTGAAACTGCTCCACTGCGATTGCTGTCAATTGTGCCAGTACTTGCAAAGCCTTTTGATGGATTTCAGTATCATCACAAATATCTAGCTGCAAACTGTTCAACCAGTTTTCAGCCTCTTTCCAAGTTGATATGCCTTTATCGTAAGTTATCTTGATGTTGATTTCTTTTAGGGCAGATTCAATTTTCTCCTCAATTTCCTCTAGTGTGGATTGGTCCTCATCATCTTCATCAGGTAGTTCACAAAGTTCTCTTACTTGCTCTAGAGTTTCTAGAATCTCTTTCAAAGCATCACCTGCGCAAGCGCCGCTTAAAGATTCCAGCTTGATGTCACATTGTTTTGACAACATTTCTAAGGCTTCCAGATGCACCAGTCCGTGGTAATCATCAAATAAACTTTCGTAGTTCAATTTTTTGGAGATATTCTTTTGTTGGAGAGCTCTATTTTCTTCTTCAGCTTTTGCTTTGGCCTCTTTGAGAACTTGAGATAGAACAGGTTTATCTTGGTCGAGTTTGAGGAAGGCACGTTTGTTTTTTAAGCCTGGATCTCCTTCTTGCAAAACTTCCATAGTTTTTTTTCCTAGTTGAGAACAAAATCATTTGTAGTGAAATTTAGTGATGTGAAATATGAACTGAAAATAATGCCGTTCATGTTTTGAGAAGTAGGAATACCTCCTAGGATCTTCAAAGAATACCTAGGACCCAGGACAAACTATCATATTATTGCTTTCATTTTAAATGCTTGAAAATGAATATAAAAGCAAAATATGAATGTGTTGCTATAAGATCAGACGATGGCTAATGAAGGCCTACTCAACAATAGTTTTTCAAAATCGATCAATAATAAAGATTTTACGAGAGTGTTAAAACGAGGACACTGTATATGAAAAAAGGTGCTCATTTATGACTTGTTTGATGTTTAAAAAAGGTATATCAGTACCAGTTGGTAGAGTGTTCTGTTCAATTCAATAAGGGGGTAACATTTTCAGTCTCAACAGTTGGCGCTACTAAAACGTGAGGTCAATGCCAAAGTAAACATCCCAAAATTTTGCCGGAGAGCCCTAATGGCTGTGGCCTGTTTTATCGAAAATATTCGGAAAAAATTATGTAGAATATTTGAACAAATTGAGAACCCGAGAAGAAAACCTCAAGTACTGGAAAGACTTGAGCAGAATTACGTTTCTTTACTCTCAATGTGGAACTTTATTATGGGAGTGAAGTCAGCCACATCCACAAAATACACCGAGAAAAATGTATCGCCGAAAATTTCACCCGATTTCAGATGGAACTCAAACGCATTTCATAGAACGACTGGAAGAGAGTGAGACCCTGGGTCAAATTTGATAGGAAGGGGTTGAAAAAGCAAATAAATCATTATCTCAGTTAATACTCGTTGTACATGGATTTCGAAGACGGCAAACGAATCTAATGATTGAATTTGATAGGAAGGTGGTGAACTCATAGTTTAAATAAATGCAAAAAGCTCAAAGTCATTTCCACACAGTGTTCATATGAACACTGTGTGGAAATGACTTTGAGCTTTTTGCATTTATTCAACATTTCATTCCACTTTGAGCATTGTGGCTATTTCGTAGTTGAACTCATAGTTTGTTAGGCCGTCTAAGGCATAAGGAACTACTGCCGTTCATTATCAAGGCAGCCAAACTCAGTCTGGCGTCCGGGTACATACCGAGAAGCTGGACGAGAGCGCGTGTGACTTTCATCCCCAAAGTAGGGAAGAAGGACCCTACCCTTCCGAAGTCATTCAGACCGATCTGTCTCACATCCTTCTTACTGAAGACACTGGAGAAGATCGTAGATAACTACATCAGATGTGAGATACTGAAGAGGGTGCCCTTGCACCCAGGACAACATGCATATAGGGCGGGCAGATCAACCGAGACCGCCCTTTTCGTGCTCACCGAAAACATCCAGAGATCACTTGAGCATAAAGAAATCGCCATATGCGCATTTCTAGACATAGAGGGGGCATTTGACAACACCTCTCATGAAGCAATAAAGAGAGCCCCAATGAACAAGGGAGTGGACAGAACCACATCCAAATGGATGTGTCAAATGCTGACCACAAGAACAGCTGAAACGAAAGTGGGTGAGAGCAGCTTTCAAATCAGTACGAACAGGGGCTGTCCAGAAGGAGGGGTACTGTCACCCTTGATGTGGAGTCTAGTAGTAGACGAACTACTCTGGATTCTTACTGAGAACGGAGTAACTTGCTTTGGATATGCGGACGACATAGTCATCATGGCCAAAGGCAAATTTGAAGGGACCCACTGCGACCTCATAGAGAGAGAGCTAGAGACTACCAGAAGATGGTGCCATTCGGTGGGGTTGAGAATTAACTCAACGAAAACCACATTGGTACCTTTTACTAGAAGATGCAGATGATAGTACCCTCCATACTGCGTTCTCTTCCAGAATTCCCATTTCTTCCCAGGAAACTGAGAACTCACGGCGCAGACAGGTCAATGCTGTCAATGAAGACCTTGCTGAAATCACAGCCTGGGGAACCAACAACCTAGTTGAATTCAACGCCACCAAAACTCCCTGTGAGCCTGTATTTTCTCTAGGAAGGCGGAACTCAGTATGCTCAACATTGTAATGTCTGGCACCACCATCCCCACCAAGTCCACCATATCTATGCTCGGTATTTCCATCAGCAACACTCTTTCATGGGATAATCATGTTAGATCCATTGCAAAAGCTGCTTCACAAAAACTCGGATTCTTGTTCCGTGCGAAAAGCTACTTTACACCTCAACAGCTCCTCATGATCTACAAAGCGCAGATACGGCCTGTTCTAGAATACTGTTCCCACATATGGGGTTCAGCACCAAAACATAGGCTGATGCTCTTAGATTCCATCCAGAGAAAAGCCATCCGCCTGGTGGGTGACGCCACACTCACTCACTCTTTGACATCATTGGAACACCGCAGAAAGGTCGGCGACCTTTCACTTTTCTATCGATACTTCCACGGGAAATGTTCTTCGGAAATCTTTGCTATCATCCCTTCACTAGCAATACCAGTCAGACGAACTAGACAAGCCCAGTCAGCACATCCTTTCGTTGTCAACCTCGAAAGATGTCGAACAGCACTTTATCAAAACTCCTTCATCCATAGAACGGCTAGGCTCTGGAATTCATTGCCTGTGGAAGTATTCCCAACAACATATAATCTCCAGAAGTTCAAAAAAAAAATCCAATACCTACCTCCTATCCCTATCCTCCCTAGGAACGCACGATGTTCTTTGAACATTATAGGGATTCCCTTTCGTGCGCTTCAAGTGATAAAAAAAAAGAACGAAGGTTCAGCACTCAAGAGTCGTCCGTCTAAACGGAGAAGACCTAGAATGGCAGCAAGAAGTGAAGTATCTAGGGCTCATCCTAGACTCAAAGCTTCTCTGGAATAGACACGTAGAAAAGATCGCCAGTAAGGCAAAATCATCACTGATGGTGTGCAGGAACCTTGCAGGCAAAACGTGGGGGTGTAACCCATCAATACTGCGATGGATGTACACCATGCTAGTGAGACCAATGATCACCTACGGAGCAGTAGTGTGGCACGGCAGAACCGAAATCGCCAAATATTAGAGAAGGTGCAAAGATTGGCATGTCTTTGCATAACAGGAGCAATGAGATCAGCTCCAACAGCAGCACTAGAGGTCATTTTGGATCTCACACCTCTACACATCGTGGTGAGGAGAACTGCCTATGGAGCACATCTCAGGTTAGCCAAGGTCGGACTAAGAGGGAAAACGCACAGTGCAAGGGGCTCACCCCCCACTGAGATCGCACACCTCGCCGATCTTCCAACAGACCAAATCATTAGGAAGTTCAGTTTTGAGAAGAACTTCCGAGTGGAGCTGAGCAACAAGCGCGAATGGAGCACAGAATCCATCGAATCACTGGGAAGGAACACCATTACTTGGTATACGGACGGGTCTAAAATACCCGAGGGAACTGGAGCAGGAGTCTTTGGGCCTCGCACCAAATACTTCGAATCCATGGGACAATTCCCCAGCATTTTTCAAGCGGTAATACACGCCATAGGAAGATGCATCCAGTTCAACCTAGACCGGAAATACCGGAAAAAGGACATCGCAATTTTATCCGATAGCCAAGCAGCCATCAAAGCGTTGAGCTCTCCTTACATCAACTCGAAGATGGTATGGGAATGCCTAAGCAAATTGAATGAGCTAGGCAGCAACAATAAAGTGATCCTCCTCTGGGTGCCAGGACATATTGGAGTGGAGGGGAATGAACAAGCAGACGCTCTGGCACGACAAGGGGCTTCAACGCCATTGATCGGACCAGAGCCATTCTGCGGCCTTGGAAATTCCTATTTCCAAGCAGAACTTGAGAAGGCGGAAGGAGCCTGGAGAGCCAGACAATGGAAAAGACTTCCAGGACTACGGCAGACTAAAGATCTCCTTGGAAATTTCAACCGAGAAAGATCTAAGACACTGACAAACCTCAGCAAAGGAAGTCTCAAAGCAATAACGGGATTTCTAACGGGGCATTGCAGCCTCAAAGAACACCTAAGGAAGCTAGGCTTATAGGAGGACGGCACCTGCAGATTCTGTGAGGAAGAACCAGAAACACCCCATCACATACTGATGGAGTGTGACGCTGTACATCACAAAAGACTGAACATACTGGGAACACACCAGCTGACTGTGGAAGAAATACCACAGCTAGACCCCCTCAAAATCCTCAAACTCCTGAAGGAATTGAATCTCGAGGGGCTGCTATGAACAAGAAATCCTTGATATAGCAGAAGCAGATGGGGCACAATAGATCTAATTGGGTCGCAGCGCATCTGTCACCATCCAACCTACCAATACCAAGGGAAAGAAAAGGGGTTGAAAAACAAAAAAATCATCATCTCAGTTCATACTCGTTGTACATGGATTTTGAAGGCGGTGAACGAATCTACTGATCGGATTTGATAGGAAGGTGGTGAACTCATAGTTTGTCAGGCCGTCTAAGGTGGAAGAAAAGGGATTGAAAAACAAAAATAAACATTATCTTCGTTAATACTCGTTGTACATGGATTTTGGAGGCGGTAAACGAATCTACTGATCAGATTTGATAAAAAGGTGGTGAACTCATAGAACTCACAAACTCACAAACTATGAGTTCACCACCTTCCTATCAAATCCAATGAGTAGATTCGTTTGCCTTCCTCCTCGAAATCGATTTACAACGAGTATTAATTGAGATAACGATTTTTTTTTGTTTTTCAACCCTTCTTCTTCCCCCTTAGACGGCCTGACAAACTATTAGTTGACCACTTTCCTATCAAATTCGATGAGTAGATACGTTTGCCGTCTTCGAATTCCATGTACAAGGAGTATTAACTGAGATAATGAGTTATTTTCTTTTTCAATCCCTTCACCACTTTCCTATCAAATTTGACTCAGGCTCTCACTCCCCTCCAGTCGTTCTATGAAATGCGTTTGAGTTCCATCTGAAATCGGGTCTAATTGTTGAACACATTTTTGGCGATACATTTTTCTCGGTGTATTTTGTGGATGTGGCTAACTTCACTCTCACCTTGAGGTGTATTTCCACCAGAGCAATCTATTTCTGCTAGTTAGAAACCTTAACATCATCATTTAAAGAAGTTATGAATCATTTTCTTATATTCACCCCTTGTAGCATCCCTCCTACGGCCTGGCAAAATATTTGAATAGGTACTTGAGGTGTATTTCCACCAGAGCAATCTATTTCTGCTAGTTATAAACCTTAACATCATCATTTAAAGAAGGTATGAATTATTTTCTTATATTCACCCCTTATAGCATCCCTCCTACGGCCTGACAAAATATTTAAATAGATACTCCTGGTGTATTTCCACCAGAGCAATCGATTTCTGCTAGTTAGAAAAATTGACATCATCATTTATAAAAGTTATGGATCATTTTCTTATATTATCACCCCTTGTAGCATCCCTCCTACGGCCTGGCAAAATATTTAAATAGGTACTTGAGGTGTATCTCCACCAGAGCAATCTATTTCTGCTAGTTAGAAATCTTAACATCATCATTTGAAGAAGTTATGAAACATTTTCTTATATTCACCCCTTGTATAGCATCCCTCCTACGGCCTGGCAAAATATTGAAATAGGTACAGAGCAATCTATTTCTGCTAGTTAGAAACCTTAACATCATCATTTAAAGAAGTTATGAATTATTTTCTTATAATCACCCCATGTAGCATCCCTCCTATGGCCTGGCAAAATATTCAAATAGGTACTTGAGGTGTATTTCCACCAGAGCAATCTATTTATGCTAGTTGGAAACCTTAACATCATCATTTAAAGAAGTTATGAATTATTTTCTGGTATCCACCCCTTGTAGCATCCCTCCTACAGCCTGACAAAATATTTCCACACTCACTGAAGGTGTGATCTGATAAGGCCTATCAATTTTGTTCGGCTCCAACATCAAAGTATTCATCTTAATGGATTTCTGAAATTTTTTTCAAATACATACATTTTTCTCAGTGTATATTTGTGGATGTGGCTAGTTTCACACCCGTCCATAATAGTATTACCAATGACTTTATTTGAGTTTGAGATTTTATTCCCAAGGTGTTATTGCATTTTGAAGGAACCAATACTGGTTTAGTATTTATCTGGGTATTTATATAATTGTGCAGTGAATAGCAATAAGATCAGGATAAGTATATAATTAATCATGTACTCATACGAAATAGGAATTCATATTTGGTAACATTATTTATTCAGGTTATTGAATTTTTTCCAGGGTTTTTGGTCTATTCAATAAAAAAATAGATAAAAAGTTACTTCCCAAGTTACCTAATGAAAATTTATCATCCATTGTTAGATTCACACTCAGATTTGTATTATAATTCATCAGAGGCTCTGCATAGGTCAGAGAAGTGAAGAAGGAGCATTCAGAAAGTATATTCAAATTTGATTCCTCCTATTGAATAAGGATTGATGTTTCATGGATAGTTTGAAAAAAGTGGGGGGGGGCTTTGCCCCCGAACCCCCTACGTGCCGCCGCTGTAATTTATGGAGATGGGAAAATGGTCAAACCAATGACGGCTAAATATCTAGACTGTCTGAGGAACCCATCAGTCTAGATATTTAGCTGCCATTGGTCTAACATTCAAGCTGATGACTTTAGCACCCATCAACACCATAATTCAAATTCACTATACAGGGTGTCCGGAAATTATGCGCAAAAAATCAAGAGGGTGATTCTACATGATGAAATAAGAAATTCTTTTTATATGTACGTGGGTCCGGAAATGCATAGTTTTCAACATACAGTGTGTTAAAACTTTTAAACAAGATCGGTTTTCTATGAATATCTCAAATGTCCTTCTACCAATTTTCTTGAAATTTGGCAATGATATTCTTTGTCATAAGGGGCTGATATAGCCATAATTCAATTGGAATTATTAAATCCAGTGGCGTCCTGGGGGCAACCTACCGAATATTATTGTCAATAAAATGTGCGCCACTGATTTTTTTGAATTCTGTATCTTCATAACCTATTGACCAACTAAAAACACAACATTTTGAACTCTTGAATTATTTTGATAATTTGCTTCATTTCCATGGAAAAAAATAATTACCAATTTATTGCATAAATTTGTGCCAAAAAATTCCTTAAAAAACTGAGGTAAAAATAAATGCGGCATCAATGTCCATAGATAGGGAATATGTATGAAGATTCATTTTCTTCAAGTATTCCTTGATACATGTTTGACACACTCTACACTCTGTATATTGAGAACTATGTATTCTCGGTCCAGGAAGGCGTAGTTTTCGATAATACAAAGTGTGTCTAACATGTATTATAAAATATTTGAAGAAAATTAATCTCAATTCAATTCTTATTCTACGTCTATAGACATGGATAACACATTTAATTTCACCCCTGTTTGTGAAGCAATGTTTTGCACAAATTTATACAATGAATTGGTATTTATTTTTTTCCACGGAAACGCAGCAAAATTGCAAAATAATTCACGATACTAAAATGTTGTATTTTCAGTTAATCATTAGTATATGGAGATAGAGAATTCAAAAAAATCAGAGGCGCACATTTTATTGACAAAAATATTCGGTAGGGTTCCCCCGGGACGCCACTGGATTTCACAATTCTAATTTAAAAATGGCTAAATCAGCCCCTCATGACAAAGAATATATTCATAAAAAAACGATTTTTTCTAAAAAGTTTAACACACTGTATCTTGAAAACTATGCATTTCCGGACTCAAGTATATATGAAATAAATTTCATATTTTCTCATGCAGAATCACCCCCTTGATTTTTTGCGCATAATTTCCGGACACCCTGTATGAATATTATACAGGGTGGTTCACATTTTTAATCATTGATTTTAATAAATAATAAAGAAATGAAAAATAAGACCTATCCTATCCTCTTTTATAACATAACTTCAAATTCATTATAACTTAAAAACAGATGGATGAAGTTATATGAATTGATATCTAGGGAAATACAAAACTCATTTTTATCAAATTTGGATCACATTTTTATAGGTGATCCATGGTGAACCAGCATCTACAGTATATGTCATATGTCTCAAATAATTAGTTACCCACAGGACATTTTTGCATTACCCTGCAGTACATCTGATTCTGTCCTGCAGTATCATATAGTACTTTGCATTACAGCAATTTTGCAATACCTGCATACTTTTTTGACTAGTGGTCAGTCCCTTGTTCTGGACATATTGAGGGTGAATGATTATTTTTGAGGTGAGTAAATGATTATTTTAGAGGTGAGTAAATGATTATTTTAGAGATGAGTAAACAATATGAATATTTTGAGTACCTACCTATAGTTTCCAGAGTATCCAACCCACCATTGATGACTTTGTTGCCTGTATGCTCCACAAATTTAGTGAGATTAGAAACTCCTGAAACAAAATTTGACAGATTTCCAAACCCAAACCCATTATAGTTCTTGTCTTTGCTGTCTTCCTCCACAGCACTGTTTTGTTCAACATTCTCCAAAATTCCACAAATTTTTTCTTCTTCATTGAGGTGCTGCTTAGCCAGTTCTTCAGGATTAGGAATACCCATGCTATTTTCTAGTACATTTGATAGGCCTTGTGAAACTTGGTTGGTTAGTGTTGAAACACTATGAGTAGCAGTGCTGAGTATAGAGGAGACTCCCCAGGTGCTCCAACCACCCCAAGTGGTATCATTGCTGGTATCCTTTGCTTGACTTGAGACTGCAATTTTATTTTCAATAGGATCCCATTCTTCCTTTTGCCATGTGTCATCACTATCATCTCCTTTGTTTTCTATGGGCTCCCAATCATCATTCTCCCATAAATTTTCTTCAATAGTTTTTTCTGGTAGAGAAACTGTTTTGATGTTTTTACCTACACTAGGATTCACATTATCAATTGATATTGGTTCCCATTCATTATTATCCCACATATTTTCAGTTTCAGATTCTTGAGACTGATCATCATTGGCTTTTTCTGAACTGCTCTCTGTTGAATGTTTCTTCAGTGTTACTATTTCACATTCACTTTTGTGCTGTTTCTCAGTTCTATTCTGTGCTGGAATATCTTGGTCTACTAATCTCCTATTTACTAGAACATCTTGATTAGGGGTATCAGCTACTTGTGTTTCTACTAAGGAATTGATATTGATATCTGTAATTCTCTTAGGAATGATAGGATTATCCTTATAATCATTTTTCACTTTGATTTCATTAGTTCTGTTACCTTCAATGTCTCCAAGTATTGAGGCATTGTTTGACACACTATTTTCACTTTGTTTAGCTGAAATATTTCCTAAATTTTCATCAATGTTCAAGTTACCTAAACGTTTTTCCAAATCATTGTCCAGATTATCTAAAACAGACTTATCTCCTGTGTCTTCTGAACTTTCACTATCTGAGTGAAATTCATCAGCACTTTCAAAGTGTTCACTATCTGAAGTATCCATCACTTTTTCCTTTTATGTGACAAAAAATGACCCATGTAATGAATTGGATATATTAAGGACATCTGTAGAGGCAATCACTACAAACTACGTATTTATTATTACTTTTTATATTTTGATTTTGACTTATTTTTATTATTCACAATTGACAGTCATGACAGTATCGACAGATCTGACAATTTTTTAACATTATCTCTGTTCATCGCATGATGAAAACAGAGACAGCTTTTCTCAGATAGTGATTTAACTCTGTTCTGATGAGGTCTGTTCCGTTTTATGTTCGTTTCATGCTCGCGGTTTGCTCCGACTACACGATTGAACTTTGAATCAGTGGCGTATCACACGTAGGGGCAATACTCATGATTGTTTCGTTGACATTTATTTTTCTGGAAACTGAAGACTGTTCAGGTTTTCATAGGTTGTTCAAACTCACTGCACATCTGATAGGGATTTTTATGTAACACATTTTGAGAAAGAAGAAGATTGAATCGTTCGTTCCGAAATATAACATAAATAATACAAACTATTTTTATTTATATGGATGAGGTCATCCCTAGGACTTTTGGAAGAGGCCTTCCCTAGGCCTTTTGTCACTTGAATTGAGAAACAGCCTCTAACCCGCGAAGGCACTCTTTGGAAATACGTTTAGGCTCTTTGTTATTATTGTGGTAGGTACCTACTTTGAGTATTTATATATAATTTTTGTATTTCTTAAAGCAGTTAGTTTTGTTGTCAATATGAATCATGCTGATTTTTGAGAAATAATAAAATCATTGGTAAAATATCTAACAGAAAACAACTACTTACCTGGCTAATACCACAGAATATATATGCCATATATGGCATTATTATTATTATTCTCAGAGAACTAAAACCTGTAACATAAAACTAAAAAAAATACAGTACTTACCCAAACATTATGTGGTAGGGTCCACATCGTCTCAAAGATGTATTGAAAATGAAACAAATGAGTCTTAAAAACAAGTTTATTATATATTTCATATTAGACCATATACTTTAATGATAACATGTTTATATGTTTTTCTTTATGTTCTTCAAACATAATAATATATTATTTTACAAGAATAGGGCTATATAAAGATTTATAGGGTGTATGTACATATAATACAAGTAAAAAAATCACCACAACTATTAGTGAATATTCCCAACTAATATAGTTGGAATAATAACATAATTGATATTAGCCTAGAGATTTTTTGGGCACCTTTTGGATGGCTCAGACTTATTTTACAAGAGATCCTAATTATCAATTAAGTTCTCATCATATACATGGTGGTAGATCATCAAAAATAGTATAATCTGCTTCATCTGCTTATATATTTTTTCCTAGGATGCTTATAAATAGTTTCAAAAGTTTGTGATTCATTTTCTCAAGCACACTATATATTATCAGGTTGATGAAAAGCGGTAATAGTGTGTTTCAACTGATAATTTGTTTTTATGAAAAACTTTTTGAAAGAGCCCCTTTTAATCCAGTAACTTTATACATCACAGTATGCGTCAAATCCGGTAGTTCTGATTTTTTGCAAACTTGTTCGTGATGTTGACCTGATGAATAATCCAATAATAATAATAATGACCTTGAGCGCCGAACGCAACTTTGTCAAAAATCGAAAAAACAGCGAAAACATCGTTTTTTTTTTCAGTTTTTGGCGACTATAACCCTAAAGGACTAGTTTTTGAAAAAATTCTTTGATAACGTTTTTAAAGTAGACCAAATTTGCTACAATATGATCTAAAAACTGTCTCTGTAGACTCTTTAGTTTCCGAGATTGAGCCTTTCAAAGTTTATAATTTTTTTCGAACTTCACAATTTTTTACAATCCTGTTGTTCTGATTGAATTCTGACCCTGATTATACAATCGAAGCCCTGTACTTTCATGATGAGATGATAAGAAAGAAAATGAGGAGTGTGAACGAGGATGTTTAAGCTGAGCTACGAATAATGAAATAAAAAAGATAAGTACAACAAAAGTTAATGAGTCTATTTGTTAGGAAATAGAGTAATACTAAAGATCAAAAAATTTGATTAATTTAGCCCTCTTGAAAGGTCCCGGTTGAGGTTCGTCTGGATCTGGATCGACGTATTGGGATGGCATATCCCCATCAGGGGATGGTGAATATGATTTCAAAGGAAAAATGCGGGTAACGTGTATTGTGGTGGATAGTGGAAGCCGTGCAGATCGAGAAAATTTGCCTAGTTTTTTCACATTCCTACTGTGATTCTGTGAAAAACTCTGTGCATTATCCACAGATTAAAGATCTATCAAGAATAAGAAGAGAAATGTGGATAGCAGCCATCAAGAGAAAGGATCTAACAACAGAATCAATCATGAGAAACCAAAGGATGTGTAGCAGGTACATGAGAGAAAACCAATACTTATTATATGTGATGGCCCTACAACCAGGCGCCATCTTGCCAGCTGAAAAGTCCCGTGGATTAGATTGCCTAAAAAGTTTGAAAACGTGCAACAGGTGGGTCACATTCGTGACTCCACACGAACAGTACTAGCACACTCCGTCGGAGGTAATTGAAAGTTCATCCCGTTAGAGTAAATTCGAGTGACGCCTAAAACATTGCAAAAAATTCGAAGTTCGAAAAAAATTATAAACTTTGAGAGGCTTAATTTCGAAAACTATTGGGTCTACAGAAACAGTTTTTGTATCATATTGTAGCAAATTTGATCTGCTTTAAAAACGTTCTGAGAGATTTTTTTTCAAAAACTAGTTCTTCAGGGTTATAATCGCCAAAATTTGAAAAAATTATGATTTTTTCGCGGTTTTTTCGATTTTTGACGAAGTTGCGTTCGGTGCTCGAGGTCACAAACTTGGATCATTCATTAGGCCAACATCATGAACAAGTCTGCAAGAAATCAGAACTACCGGATTTGACGCATACTACCCCATATGTTCAGGCGACAAAGTTACTTGACTAGTGTTGAAAAGGAATATTCTCAGATAAATTATGAACATACAAAAATGGATATACTACTTTGAGTGGTGGAAATTTGCCATCCTCACATTCTGAAAACGGGCATTTGAAATACTCAGGAAACAAAACATAGTTTATCAAGATCATTCAAAACATAAAGATTTGATTACAGGTATGGAGGTGTACACAATGGATACACGGTGGTCCAATTGAAAGCTTTTTCCAAATTCAAGGCGTTACGGCAAAAATTTTAGGTGACTGAAATGATGTCAAAATACCTTTTAATTCAAGGTCGTGTATGGTGTCTGCAATTAACTTTCAAACACCCACAGCAAAATTTGTAGTTGTTTTTTTTTTCATAGAACTGAACAGTCGTTCATATTTTATTATACATTTTGAAAAATTGTCCATCTAATGACGCCCCTGGTATTCATATCAGCTGACAAAATCCTAGGAATGTATTTGCTTACAGATATCTATACCTTTTCAACTTCAATTTCAGAATCGGTAAGTTATATTTCGGAAAAGGTAAACTCGGTTTCAGAAATGGTTAACTCAATTCCAGAATCGGTGAGTTGAATTTCAGAAAATGTCCATTCAATATCAGAAACGGTAAGTTATATTTCAGAATTGGTTAGTTCAATTTCAGAAACAAAAGTTCAACTTGAAATAAATAATCCTGATAACACATTCACTATCGTGAATTGAATAAGTCACTGTATGAATCTTAGTTCATAGGATAATGAGAGTGCATTTAAAATGGGCATCCTACAGATACCATAGTGGTAGTTCTGGATAATGCACCTGCATATTCAAGAATATATAGAGGAGATTTGCATGAAGGAATGATTTCAAGATGTTCTTATTTGAAGATTGGCACCTTACAGCCTCCAATGTTGAACCCAATAATTGAACATATGGAATACCTTCAAGTCAGAAGTGAAAAGCTTCTTGCGAGAGCATCACCAAAGGGTGATAGCTGGGGATCCAAACAGATTGCTTAACCAAATAGAAATGTTTTGAAGAAAGTTCAATGAGAAGATATCTCAAAAGTGTTTGAATTCGTTTAAATCATGTGCAACGCCACTATCCTTCTGCGATTCGAATGGAAGACATGTCTGTATGGATTAACTGAAGATTAAGTTTAGTATATGTTTTAAAATGGTTTTTAAGAATTAAAATATTCTGAAGATGGTTTGTTCTTTCCACATGCAACTAAAAATATGTCAAACAAATATAAGGATTCATTTTCTGAAATACAACTTACCATTTCTGAAATTGAATGGACTTTTTCTGACATTCAACTCACCGATTCTGAAATTGAGTTTACCATTTCTGAAATTCAACTAATCAATTCTGAAATCGAGTTCACCTTCTCCGAAATATAACTTACCGATTCCGAAATTGAAGTTGAAAAGGTATAGAAAGTCACCAGAATATCTGTTTTTTTTTTTTTAGTGGTGAATGTTAAATGTTTCTTCCAACTTGAACTCCTAAACAAAGCAGCTTATGACCAATGTTTGAAACTTTTCTTCTCAAAATAATGTCTTTTATCAACTGCTTATATTTTGCTACTATAAAGTGGACCATCCTGTATATCCAATAGTAAACCATAATTCGCGGTCGCCAATGTCATCAGACGACGTTCGATGAACATGTCTAACTTTCAATCTAAGCCAGGAGTTAGGAATTTTTCCAGTAGTTTTCATGTCATCACAATGTCAGATTACCTTGATTACCGCGAATCAGTGTGATGCAAAACAATTCTTTTTTGTAACTGTTATTATAATACTGGCCAATTTCACAACCAAAGCAACTTTATAGGGTTCTAACCATTGTTTTGAAATGAACTGGATTACAGATAAGGTGAAAAAAACTGCTTTTGTGTTTCATTAGATGAAAATATGGATACAGATTGAGCAAAACACTTTTTTTCAGTGTTTTCAATTTTGATCAAGCATCATAGAAAAACGGATTTTTGATGATCTGAAGTCACTCTTTATAAAACTCTACCACCCTCTCTAATTTCAATTATTTTATAGGCACAATT